CATCGGTACCTGGTGCTTTCCGATTTTTCAGGCCAAAAATTGCAATTTTTACTTCTTCTAAACTAACATCCTTTACATGTGGCTCCACACTTTCATAATCGATATGTTCTACAGGCTGACCTGGCATCCTATCATTTAATAATTTTTCGAAATATCCTTTCCATATATCAGCTCTTGACTCTGGCTCCATTAGCATTTGTCTGTCTTGGTCTCTGATTGCATTCCATATAGGGTTGAAATGCTTATACTGTTTAATGACTCTAAAAAAGTTTCTAGTTCTTCCTTGTGTATGGTAATTATCTGCAGTTTGAAGTACGTTGCTAAAAAAATTTCTTTTTTCCCTTTGAAGAGAACTTTTGCAGATTTTACGTTCCCGTATGAAAACTTCTTTGGTCATTTGGGTGTTGTTCTTAATAAAGTCATCTCTCGCTTTACAGCGTTTGTCTATAGAAATTCTACAAACATCATTATACCAGATATTTCTTGACCTTTTTAGCTCACCAATACTAGTGGCCGCTGCTTTGTTAACAGCATTTCTCACTATTTCCCAATCCAAATCTACGTCCATTTGTGCAATATTCTCTTTAAGGTTCTTCGTAACTTCGTTCTCATAATTTTTCCTCACGGTTTCATCTTTTAGTATCTGTAGATTAATTTTAACCCTTTTGTCTTGCTTTAATTTCGATTGACTTTTTAACTTTGATCTGAGTTTGGCAATCACTCAGTAGTGATCCGTGTCACAATCAGCGCCTCTATGGCTTCTTACATCGTAAATTGTACTACGGTATCTAGTCTGTATGAGAACGTGGTCAATATGGTTCAGGGTTTCTAACCTCCACGTGGCTTTGTAAATATTTTTGTGTGGAAACGTAGTACTACTAACAGTCAACCCATTTGATGTTACAAATGCTATCAATCACTGACCATTGTCATTGCTGTTATTATTCAAACTTTCTCTCCCTATACAGGGGAAGTACTGTTTCCTGTCCACATTTTGCATTGAAGTCACTTAGTACAATCTTTATCACGTTCCCAGTGATACTCTCGTATGTTTCAGTCAGTTCGTCGTAAAAAGCATCTTTCACATTGTCATCTTTTACTTCTGTTGGTGCATGTCCATTTACTGTACAGATATTGATTGGGCTAGTGTTGATGGTTAATATTGATATCCTTTCGGATACTGGATCGAACACTTTAATGTACGGTATTAATGTTTTATGGACTGCAAAACCGCTACCGAAGTGATGCCTATTTTCCATTCCAGAGAAGAAAATTGTGTATTCTCCAATTGTTAGTTATCCTACTCCTAACCATCTTATTTCCTGTATAGCTGCTACTTTAATGACGTATTTTTTAAGGACATCAGCTAGATTTTGGCTTGCACCTGTTCTATACAAGCTTGTTACATTCCATGTCGCAATCTTAAAATCAGTATTCCGTTTCCAAAAACCAGTCTTGAATCCATGTAATCTTATCCTAGGCTTAGGTGTAGTTGGTTTCATAACAAGGTTACTAGGCAAGGTTGTTAACCCTGCGCTTAACCCTCAACCTGGAGGACCAGATTGAACCAACCAGTTAAGGTCTGTTCAGGCCTTAGGGCCCCGGATACGCCAAACCCGTAGCACAAATTGCATCCCCTGAGGGATAAATTATCATATATAGTCACTAATAGAGCAAGGACTTTCATGCACTAAAAAATCATCAAATATTTTTTTAAAAATTTGCGGTTAAATATGCTCTTAAAAGAATTAATTTTATTATTATTCACTATAAGTTTTAACTAGATTTATTTTATTAAAATGATTTGAAATTTTTTTTGAATGTTGGATCCCAATCTTCTTAATTATTATTCTGCACCTAATAAAACAAAAAAGGTATTTTAAAATAATTGTTAAATTATTCTCAAATATTCATCTTACCTAAATTAGAATTACACTGAATTATTAAACACACGAAACTAACACACACTTGGTAAATCTTCTATAACTAATCTAATCTACCTACTGACTATAGATACTTGATACTATCGTTTTTAATTTATCATTTTATATTCGATTTGTATTATAATAATACAAAAATAGACATAATAAATACTGACCATTATTATTATTTCAAGATAAAATTTATCTCTATCGTCTTTATAAGTTTATAACAAATTGTTGACCTTGATTTATGAAAAATATTCACCAGAGCATTTGATTTTTGATAAACCATCAAAATATGCACTAAAAGCTTAAAATATAATCAAAACATATGTCCCTCAAACCAAATAATGTCCAAATATGCAAAAATATATACAAAAAACTTTGAGTTTTTCATCATAAACGTTATGAAATGTATTTTGTACTTACCAAGCATACGATAAAGTTAACCAGAAAAAATGTGCAAATGCATGAAAGTCCTTGCTCTAGTCAGTAATAAAACCCCACGGCAAAGTTGTTTACTGATATATCATGTTTTTCCACAATAATTATACGTGAACCATGTAAATAGTATAATATTGCTAAAATGTTATATAACCAGATATGCTTCAAAACGAATTAAAAAGAAAAGGAGGTGCAGAAAATAAAAGAGATAAAAATCGTAGAGTTTTTAGAAGAGAGCAAAACATGTGTAAGTATAATATGTATTATAATTTTAAACATTATTTAAGAACGTCGAAAAAAAAGGTGGTGATTGTCGGGTTGCTTCTCTCAAAGTTGAGTTAATTGTTTAGTTGGAACTTGGATATAATCATGCGGGCTGCTGTATTCTATTTTTCCCGGACCGGTCAGATTATGCCTATCTGCCCCTGGCTATACTTAATAAAATACCTTTTTCAGACGGAAACCAATTCGGCATGTGGGTTTGGAGCTCGGGAACCATTTCGGTACTAGACGTCCAACCCACGGACCGCGGGCCACATGTGGCCCTTGAAGACTTTTAATTTGGCTCTCCTCCAAAGAAGACTTATATTAAAAAAAAGTAACAATAATATAACAAAATTGTTGTATGATTGTATACTTTTTATGTTTTTTTTCAATCAAATTTAGGTATACATTTTCAGTGACACCCATAGGTTCTTATATTAAAACAGTGCAGTTATAATTATAGGGCCCCTATTTATTGTGGTCTATATCCATACAGCCATATTCGTTTGATTGGAATAATTTTTTTCCAAATGCATTTTTAAATGCATGTTTACCTTAAATAAATTAAAAAATATTACAAATTCCTGTACAAATTTTTTTATAGGGGTTTGGATTTATAATTTTACAAAAAAAAAAAATCTTTACCGGTTAGGGAAGTTTTTCAAATACAATAACTTATTGATTATTAAAAATTTCAAAGATAATATTACAACATACATAATAGTTTTAATCAGTGATTTAATTTAAGGCATTGAATATGAATTGATTTGTTTTACAAAGTTTATCTATTACTTCATCATCATTTATTTCTATATACCTAGTAGTTACATAACATATTAACATAATAACACATAAATCTTGAAGCAGCTTCCTGAGCTCTGACACAAACTATAAACGCAATCAATATTATTATAGTTATACAAATTAGTTATTATATACTTGGATGGAATTGCAATGCCAAGACTCAAGTCCCGCCACCCTTTTCTTGCGAAACTAGAATCAACAAATGGTAACAGGAGCCTTCAGCCAGACCCTTGGAAGGAGGAGTGGAAAAGTGACATCCCAACTAACAGATTCTTAATGGATAATGTACACAGTAAAGCCAAGGTCGGTGTAATTACTTATTGCATAAGTGGAAAATCAAAACAGACCCTAAATGTGGCTGTGGTGCAGATAGGCAAACGATGGAACACATAGTAAACGAGTGCGCAGAGGAAATTCTCCGGATCCTTAACCGAAATACACGCAGCAACGGACAATCAATAAAATGGCTGGATTCATTAGACGTCGAAATTTAATGTACCTACCTATATAATTAATTTTTTAATTACCTATTGTATTCTATATTTTTATTTTATATTAGTTTATATTTGTTTATTTATTTGTCCTGTTAACTAGTAGTAGCAGTATTGGTAATTTATAGTTATAATTATTTGCATTTAATAAAGGTTATACGATAATAATAATAATTTTATACTTATATTTGTTTGAATATTTGGCACCGCCAATTCTTTACGTTTTATTCAATGACCTAAAGATCCAGATGAATAGTTACGCATTTATAGTGTTTGCTCCAGAGACCAGAGTGGGACCCTCAAATGTATATAGGCTCCGGGATCCACGAGAAATCAGTGCAATTGCACCATTTGGTACCCTACGTGGGCACCACTGTATGTGTTAGGAGTAAATTTAAAACAAATGATTAAATTCAGCTTACTATGTAGGTACGTAAGTAGGTAGGTATCGTGTTTTTATAGCAGCACAGTGAATCTGATTTTTTGTGGTGGGAGATTGTGGAAGTGTTTATTATTATTATAGTCATTATTAGGCGGCGATTATTGACTGCAGGTTTTACTGGATATTAATATAATTTTTTTATTTTTTATTTTGTGGTCCATAGTGTTTTTATGAAAGTGTAAATTGGCCCGCCAGCTACAAAAGATTGGACCACTCTACTACAGCTTATGCATTTACAAGCGGTCTTATCGGGAATTTATTATAAAAGCAATACTGCTTATTTCTTTCCGAGTTTTAGTAGGTCGATGGATCATTGCGGATAACAAGAAAAGAGTTCAGGAACACACGCACATTAAACACATGAACTACATTAAATACGATACTTGGCGTAGGTATTTAAAATAATCATTCACGTTGCACGACACAGTACAATAGCACATCGCACACAGTGTTACCAAGATTCTGAATTGATGATGTACGCATGCACCTTGCGAACGACCCACGGCGACGGCGGCTACAGTGTTGCGATGGCTTCAATGGTGGTGGAATCGGCGGTGGTGGGGTTAGGAAACCACCTGACACGCCCCCACCGTTTTCCCAGTCATCACAAAGGATCCGCGCTAGCATCTTCTAATCAAGCACAGCATACACACACACACACACACACACACACACGTACATGCAACCTCTCTCTTATTCATACGGTCACACATATACACAAACACATATGCGTGTGCCCGTATTCACACGTACACATAGTTACAGATACATTTTATTATTATTATTATTATTATTACTTTGCTTTTTTTATTTTCTCTTTTGTATGTCCCGTACGGCCACTGAAGTGAATTCTGACTAGCGCTGCACTGGCTCTTCGTACGGCTGGTGTCTTGATCGGATTCTCGTAAAACAATATTTTATTAGGTCGTATTCAGTCTGCGTAGTCGCCTGCGATTTTGTTCACTTTCGTCACATCCACGGTTCATGTTTAGTGTTAATGTCAATATAGTAATATCGTAATCACGTCAATATGGCGTAGTGTTGCCGTTCGATTTCATCGACTTCGCCGTCGTCACCGTCACCGTCATCGTCATCGTCACCGTTGATGGATATTACCGTAGTGCTATCCAAGACGCAAGTGCAATAAATTATAATTTCAATGCTTAATATTATTGTGGATAGTGCAGTATAAATAGTGCAATCAGTGTCTTATGTTTAATTTTTTGTAAGTGTTTTCAGCTTTTAAAATTCAAATCTTTATATGTATATTTAAATATCAAAATTCATTATAGAAATATTGACGTTCAGTGCTCATTTTATTGGTTCGACGGCAGAGAATAAGTAACGGAATCCCATGATTCTGACGGCTTTTGGTACGATCCTACAACGGATATCTGTAGGTTCTTTGTAAACCAGAAAAGTTGCTTGTCATTTCTTAAATATGACTACGTCCATCAGATCCATCCCATCTGACAAGGTAATAGTTTAGTCTCATTACTTTTAGTATTAAACTTAAAGTTAGAAATTATGTTCCTGTTGTTTTTGAAAAATTATTGTCAGTATCGTAAATAGATTAATTACTAATCATTGTTTTGTATTAATATTTAATTTTAATTAAAATATATTCATATAATCCACCCTATGGGTACACATGCAATGAACATATTTGTATGGGCTACTGTGTACCTACTTGTTATTTTTATTTTGTAATATACTTTTTAGTATCTATTATAACATCGAAGAGATAGTTGTTAACCCGTCATTGGTATCGCTATGTAACGTTTCGCCATTGGTGTTGAGTAAGCGATACATTCACCTCGTTGTTTTTTATCATTATTTATTATTTAATAAGCATTACAATTGAAACCAATATTAAATTATTTATATTTAAATATTTGAAAATTATAATTATTATTATGAACATTTTTCTTGATTAAAATATTTCAAACAATAAAAATTATAAACTACATTATTTAAAAAAAGAACTTGTTCATACAATCTTTCTAATAATATTTACTTTTATATTTTTTTTTTTGTTAGATATGTTTATTTTAAATACATAGTTTGAATATATTGCAATATTATATAATAGTACAATATATATTTTTATTCATCTAGATCCATATTGCCTTAGGAGTGAGCACAACGCACACTTTATGGACATTAATGATATTACTTGACGATATCATATTAAGAATTATTTATAAAATTATTAAATGACAAAAATGCATTTAAAATTGTGTCGATTGAAGGTAAAAATAGTATCCGAGGAATCATGAAATAATTAAACAAGTGGTTTTCAAAATACTTACAATACATGAGTTGAGCGCTCACCACAATACCAATGACGGGTTAAAAGATCTTTATTAATGTCATCATTTTATTTAGTACCAGATTCAGTAAAGTCAACTGACAATATCACTTTTGATATATTGCATTCTTCTTCTGGCTTTTACAACTCTCTAAGAGTCTAAGTCGCCAATACAACCTCGCCCCACTTATCCCTATCAAGCGCTATTTCCCTCCCTGCGTCTATTCCCATATTTCTTAGATCTTCTTCGACAACATCGATCCATCTTTTCCTGGGTTTTCCCTGTGGTTTCCATTCTAGTGCTAGTTTAGCAGTACTGCTTTCCCCTTCTCATGATATATTGCATTAACATATTTAAAGAGAAAGTCTTTATATTATTAATTATGTTTTTGTCAATCTGAAGTAATTAAAATATCTCGTATAATTTTTAAATTACATATAATTGATAAAAATATATTATGATATAGGGATGAAAAAAAAATATGTAGGTAATTTAATGTTTATTATCTATTTATCTATGTATTTTAAAATAATATATTTTAAAAGATATTGATGGTAAAATTATTTTATACTTGCAGTTATTTAATAAAAGTGATTAACAAATAAAATTATAAAAATTATATTTTAAGATATTTCTAAGAAAAATAATTAGGTACTTTAAAGTCATTGATTAGATTCGGTGGCGTAGCCAGAAACATAATTTAGGAGGTGTTAAGTTTTAAATTTTCAATTACATTAGTACTAACTTTTTAATATTAATAAGTTGATTAAATCTGTTAAAATGTTATTAAAGTGTATTATTATTTAGTTTGTTGAAATTGTGAAATTTGTTTAATGATTAAATGATATAACAATATACCTATGTCTTAAAATGATTGTATAATTTACAAAATTAGAGAGACATTTTGGGGGGTTATAACTCGTTAACTCCCCCTAGCTTTTTAACGAGTAAAATTACTTATTACTAGATCTTAGATTTTAAAGTACAATAAATAACAAAAAAAAAAAAAAAAAACATTAAATAGTTTGAAAAAAACAAAAAGACATATTTATTTTTATTAAAAACAAAAAAAAGAACATTAAAAAAATAAATAATTATATGAGGTATAAAATTATTAAAAATAATTAAAAATGAATTTACTACCATGTAGATAGTAAGATATTTAGTTGTGAAGCTTACTCTATTATCAGACAAAATATTTTTATGCATTTAAAACAAACACTAAATTTACTGAAGTGATTGGTGCTCAATTTATTTAAGCTGTTTTGTTTAAATATAATCCATGATAATCAATATTTAATAAAACATCACACAATAATGTTTTGTGATTTTTTCCAATCCTCGTTTTTTGAATGAATATGGTATAATTTGTTTAACATATTTAATAGATCAAATGGCCGATGTTATAGTGATTCAAACCATAGATTGATAACATTATGATTAACCAAAAACAAAAAATAATCCGATAACCATACTTTTTATTCTGTGTTTAACATAGATTAAGAACTGTCATACATATCCAAGAAGCATATTTTTAAATTTCTTATTAATTAAATTATTTTTTTTATCATAGCATAATAAACCTTTAAAAATCCTTAAAAAAGCATTTACATAAAAAAAATGGTTTAAGTATTTAGAACATATGTGTAAGTACCTTAACTTTTAAATAATATATTTCTTAAAATCAATTTTGTTATAATTCATATAATCAGTATATTTTAATTTATATTGTAATATTTACCTTAATAAACTTAATGTTTATAATAATAATATTTTATAATTTTATAACTTTGAATTTAAAGTATAGGTACTTATAATTATGGGTTTTTATTTGTGTACTTATATTAATATATGGTTTAGATTAAATAAAAATGAATATTTTTAATTAGGTGAATGTCTACTATAAATAAGTTAATTTATTAAGAAAATAAAATAATATACATCTCTATTTATTTATGACCCTAAGTTTAGTATTAATGAATTAATTTAAATAGGTAAGTTTGTATTTCCAAAAAAGAACTAATAACATTATAATAAAATAATAACATCATCATAATATAACAATAACATAATAACATCTCAGAATAAAATATATCTTATAATATAATATGTATACTTACTTAATTATCTTTTTCGTTTTGTAAGTTACATGGTTTTTTTTATCAATATAAATATACCATATGTTCATCATTGAAAATATATTACATACCAGTTTGCTTTATATTATAGTGGACATGAAAATAAATTTAATCATATCTTTATCTATTTCAATTTTTTATTATTTAGCAAGTAATTAATATAATAAATGCGTAAATATAAATAAATTAAAATATTATATTGACATTATTTAAAAAAAGGTCTTTGTAAGTTAAAATCTTCTCTATGCTATGATATTGTATAAAAATATATAAATTAAAATTAATTTGTAATTAATACATTTTAATTTTGAATATAGTGATTATTTGATAACATTTAAATTAGGTATTACTGTATTTGTAATTTAAAAACAGTAAACACTAAATTCAAATCTTTATTTATAACTGATTACTTTAATTATAACTGGATATACAACTGAATATATTCATAAAAAGTCTTGGACATTGGTAAAAAGTGATATTTGTATTTTATTACAATGATTATTAAAGTTCATTTTTAAAACTGTACAATGTCAGGATTAAATAGTACAAAAAAAAAAAAATAATATTAATCCTCTTTTGCCTTATATTTTAAGTATTATTAAACATATATAAATTATATAACACAAATATGTATCTTAAAAATATACTTATAATATTAACAAAATTTTTCAATTATAGTTTAATGAAAAATTAAGACTTAGCTGAGTTCTCACCCAAATAATATTAACATATTTTTAAATACTTCACTATTTTTTTTTTTTACAAGCTGAGTTATAATTCAATTAAATTTAAAAATGTTTATACTTTAATCATTTAACCTTGTTAGTTTTTGTGATTATAATTTAAAAAAAATATAAGTTAAAAATTTTGTAATTTTTTTTATAAAGTTTGAAAAATATAATACTTTATACTATGATATGACGGTTTAAAAATATTACACAAAATTTGTTGAAGTTAATAATTCAAATAAATTAATTGTACATTGGAGATATTCTGTTATAAGTAAAAAAAATAACTAAATTGTTATAACAAGCAACTGTAATATCTCTATTTATATTTTTTCAGTATAAAATATTATTATTATATAGGATATTATAGATGCAAAAATATTTTAATTATGTGATAAATACATTTTTATGCAAAAAGCAAATAAATGGAATTTATAGGGCTATTAGTGTAAATTATTTTTTTGAAAATTAAATCCACTGTAAATATTGACATCTTAATTGAAGTTAGAATTTTTAATAGCTTGATGTTCCAGTTTTTGGTATTTTACATAAATTTATTTTTATTTTATTAACTGTAATTATCAGAATATTTATTGATTATTGGTCTATTTTTTTTTTTTTTATTAATTTTCAGTTTTTAGTACTTTTTTTTTATTATTATATATTAATGAATATACCAACAAATATCAATTCAATTATTTAATAATTAAAGATAATAAATTAAGTTATAATTAAAGATCGGATTTTTATGTTTTTATGTATTTTTACTGAGAGTATGCAACTTCTATTAAATAAAGTTTCTCAACGATTAATTTTCCTATCAATTAATATACAGATATTTTTAGGGAGTATAAATAAGCATATTTCTAGGTTAAAGAATAATATATTGTACAAAATAATATGTTTTAGAAATATATTACCATATTGAGGTTCAATTTGAACATTTTATAAAAAATTTAATGGTTTGTACAAAAATGAAAAAATGTTTTTAACCTCCGTTAGTCTCTTTCCTTTTCAAGACAAAATGTGCAAATCAATATTGATAAGAACATAACATTGGTAAGAAAATCAACTATTCTATGATTAGATATAAGATATAAAATGAAAAACTTCACTTTTATCCATAAACCTTATACCAAGAATTAAGGTAGATCATAATTCGTGCCTTATACTAATAGACTGGCCTTTTGTACTTATAGAACGGTTATAAATAAAGGGTGATTTTCATGTGTGACTTGGGACTGCTTGATGATTAATATTATCGTAATATCATAGTGTATTAACATTGCTCCATTATGG